TCACTCTAACAAGTTTGTTGTTGTACTGACATGGTTACAGCTGACAGTAACTATTTACACAATAAAGTGATGGTTATTCACATTTTACTCCATTTCAGTATCCAGCAGGACGACACAATATAAAAATAAGAATATTTTTACCGGAGAATGCATGCATTTTAAACGGGTAGAGTTCGGTTGTTTTTTGACATTACAAACAGCAACAGATAATAAAGATTTTAACCAAAAAACCCACTTAAAAAAGCAGAGCATAATTTTTAAATAAAAGGGACAAGGTGGAGAAAAATGCGCTGTTTGAGTCTGTTCATTTACTGACGGTAAACAAAGTCCGACTCCCCGCAGCTGCAGCTAAGACGTTTAAAGCAGCACAGCACCAAGTTACACTACTCTCATGAAGTTCAGGGTTATTTGACACTTTCCTGCCCGTTCTGTGAGTTTAATAAACAGACAGTTACTTCTTACCTTGCTTTACAAACTATTTCAGCCATTCGGTTTCTTTGCCGGAGACTTTGCTGCTCCTCCCACCCTCTCGGTGAAAAGCTACGGCTGGAACAGGTGACTTATGGGCAATGTAGTTCTTTTGACTTCTGTTAAAGTGAAGGCTTACTGAAAGAAAACTACAAAATAGCTGCGCCCGTGTTTTTTTATTTTTTATTTTTGTTTGTTTGTTTCATTTTCGGTTATTGGTCGGTTCCCGCTCCTGTCTGCTCCCGTTAGCTTTCAGTCCGGTCACGTCACATGAGTTATAATGAGGTTGACTCCGGCCCCACCGGAATCCGGCCGGAATCACTTGACCCGCGGTACTCCTGAAAAAATGTCATCCTCTACTGGTCATCTCATCGACTGGAAGACTTGATGATGTGTCTATTTCTGCTGCCATCTGTGGATTTTAAGGAGACATATTTAATTGGATTTACGATAACTGGTTCCTGCTTTTTGGATTCGTCAGGTGGCTGGTTTTGTCTACAATCAAGTAAGTCGTCAGCAGCAAATTTGTACCCAATCACGTTGCTTGCCTTTATGATGGCTTGGTTCGTGTCTCGAGTACCCGGACTCAAATGCTTTGGGCTGAATGGATCAGATATTGGGGGTTTTACTCAGTCACGTTCCATCGGTGTGGCCATGAACATTTCGGAACCAAGTGGCCCAACACAGACTAAAGGTAGATGTCATTAAGTTCTGCCTGTCCCCAAAACAACTGTGTGTTTATCTGAATTTGGCTCCCTTGGCTGGCCTTGAAGGCCATCTTATCTGAATTCGCCTGGAGAACATGTGATCTGATGCTCACCACCTCCTCCCTGAGGAATTTCCAACTGATAACCAGATGGAACCAGCTGAATAAACTTTGTGTCATCATTTCAGGACTCTTGGATTCTCATAGACGTTATTCTTGGCCATTCCCCGACATACCTCGAGAATGTTTACGGATCTCACTGGAGGACATTGACTGATTTTTCCATCCTTATCAGAACTCTTAAGCCTCCAGTATACTGCCGCGTATGTCCGTTCACGCGTACGTACGTGTGTACTGTACGCAGAGGGTTCAGACGTGATACTCCAGCGTACACCCCGAGCAGCTGCAGAGCAGCTTCACAGACAAGGGGCGTTAACCTTCGGGACAAATTGAGGTCGCCGACTGGTCATTTGCTGACACGCCTACTGGATTGATTGACAGGTCGGAAAAAAGGAAAAAAAGTGAGCGCTGGCAGCCTCCGCCACAGCGGTGTTCTGTGTTTATATGTTGTTAATAAAAAGATCTAAAAAAAAAAAAAAACAGGGAGCGCTGGCTCTACAGCCCACACATCAGACCAGCCCACCAGGAAATCTCCAGACCCTCCTGCAGCCACGCTGGACCTGAGTTTAATTCGCTCGTGACAAATTCTTCCATTTCTCACTATTTCAGTCATGGCATCAATGGAGGAGGAAGAGATCACTTGACTTTTGGCAAAAAAAAAAACTAAAGAAAAGACCAGATCAGAGATGAAGTAGGGGAATTTAATGCATTGGTGTCGCATACAAAACAGTCCGTCGCTTGGCAGTTTGTTGCGACACCGCGTACGCGTATGCGGTCGTAAAAATTTGAGCTTTGCACAGAGGGTACGCTGGGGGGGGTACGCACGTACCTCTGCGTACGTACATGCGTACCTCTGTGTATGGATGTACGCGGCAGTATACTGGGGGCTTTACAGTGACCTCGAAAGCATCTATGAACATTGCTGACCAATCTCGTCTCCTCCGTCTGCAGATTGTCTGTTACTATGTGCTTGTTTGTGCGGGGTGTTTTTGTTTAATATTTTGGGAGGGGGGGTCTAGGGCAAAAAAAAAAAGTCTGTTAGGATTTTTTTTTCGCCTCCAACTCCTACGTGTGTCCAGTTAACCACTGTTTTTGTCTGTCCAAACAGGTCTCACTTGTAATTGAGTCTTCGAGGCTCAATGTGATTTATCTGTTTAAATAAAGGTTGAATGAATGAATGAAGGCTGTCATTGTTTGTTGTTGTTTTCTGGAATGAGAGAGTAAAAATGTATTATCATAATTTACAGCAACTCAAGAAATGCCTTGTTTCACTTACAGTGTTGGGTTCAGGCAAATAATTAGCCCAAAGACCAATTAAACACACTCACACACAATATACTTAATTACACACTTGAGTAAATGTAATAAATTACTTTAATTCATGTTTAAATGCAATTCATCCTGCCATACCTGCAGTGTCTTCAGACTTTGCCAGCAAATTAAAAGTTGAAGCTTAATCATTAAATTATTATCTTTGTGTTAGATTTATTTATAAATCACATTTAAACACTGCTTGTACCAATTAAATTAAATAAAAAGTAACACACGTTCTCTATCACCGTCATTAATCAGAAAACAAACAAACAAACAAACAGCAGCTTCAGCTGCAGAGAGACTGACGTTACGTTTTCTTTCTTGAAACAGAACAAATGTAGAATATTGTAGAGACTCACCTGCAACACATGACGAGTTGTATCAGCTGTTCAGCTCCTTCCTCCTCCTCGTGACTCCGACATGTTTACGTTTATCTCCGTGGTTCTCCCGTGTCGTGTCGTCACTTTTCAAAGCAGCATGCTTCTCATTTTTTTATCTTTGTGAAGTTCTCCCACACTTTGGAGGACTTGAGTCGAACAGTTTTCTCTGCGTCAGTCATTTGTAAAATTTACTTAATTTCCTTTGAAAACAGCCTCTGCTCTGCTTCCTCCTCCCCCCTCGCTCTGTTCAACTCGTGCTGCAGAGTTTTTTTTTATTTCAAACTTTAGTCAGTCAGTCAGCATTGACATTGCTCTGCAGCTGAACAAAACAGCTCTGCAGCGCCGTGAAAAATGCTTAACTGCGCGACACATCGAATCGATAATGAAATTCGTTGCCAACGCTTTTAATCACTGATTTTATTGATTCGTTGTTGCAGCCCTAAAATTATCGGTTAAAAACATCTACATTGTACAAAATGTTACAATAAAACTCTTTGCTAAGTTAAGTACACTTATGTCTAAACTTGACACTGATCAAAATGTTTATAGAGGACTATATGTCCCATTATACTGTACTGTATTATATTTTTGTTTTTCAATCATGTTAAAATCATGTTGGATGCTGTCTATCATGGTGCACTAAAATTCATAACTGTCTGTAACTACCGTACCCACCACTGCACCCAGTATTCACTGGTTAACTGGTCACCATTAACTTCACACAGACTCTCTCACTGGTACATTTTCATCTTTAAATCACTTCTTGGTCTGCTGCCTTCATACATCTCCTCCTACATGTCTCTGTGTGAGTGCAGCTACAGCGTGCGCTCTCAGGACATCATTACCTGCAGTGTTCCCTCAGTAAGGACTGAACTAGACAAAAGGACCTTCTCCTATTCCGCTCCTGTTTCCTGGAATATCTTGTAAAAAGATCTGAAGCTCTCGACCTTGACCTCTCTAAGTGTCTTCAAACATCTGTTAAGTTCCTGGGAAAAACCAACGCAGACATGTTCTGGTTTTTAGTTTTCTACACCTCCCTACAACCTAGCCATTTTTTTGTTACTTCTCCTTTTAAATATCATTTTATTTTCACTTGTCAAAAAAAAAGTCTCAATTTGTACTCATCCTTTGATTGTCTGTTATTGTCTTTGTTGTCCATTGTCGTCATCATTCTTTGTTGAAACCAGGTCTCTCTTGTAATGAGTCCCCGAGGCTCAATGGGACTAACCTGTAAAAATAAAGGTTGAATGAAAAAAATAAAAAGCATGGAGGAATTTATTGAAATTCAATTCAAAAATACTTTATTAATCCCAGAGGGAAATAATATGTTGTGGTAACTCATCATCCTGGTTTCATTAAAGAGTTGTTCTAGATGCTGATGGCTGTGGACAGGAAGGATCTCTTGTAGCGTCTGTCAAAACGACATCCATCCCTCTCATCATAACATTTTTTCCCTCCTCCTCATTTTTTCTTATTATTTTTTAACCAAGTACATTTGTTTCACAGCTAGTTACTTTCAGACCAACACCTTTGCCCAACTCGCTTTTTAAAAAACAACTTTTTTATGTACCTTGTTGTCTTACGTAAATTAACTGGAAAGGCATGTTTTCAGTAACCTTTCACAGAAATTGTTTTTAGAGCGGTTGAAACAGGGGATGTGCTCTTTCTGAAACCAGCAAAAAGCTGCTTTAATGTTCATTATGTACTATGTCTGCAGCAACAAAACAGGAGTGTTCAAACAAACTGCAGGAAGTTCAGTAAGGAAGTCAAGTAAATCAAATAATGACATGTCACGTAGTTTGTGATAGAGGTGTCACAAACTAAACACAAGGATGTGCAGTTTGGCCAAAACTTTGACCATTTCCACTCCTCTATTTATTTTGTCTTTTTTTGTGTCAAGATTTTGACAGAAAATAGGATAGACTGAGTCTGCTCTGCTCTTTAATATTTGACTGTGATAATAACTGTGTAGCTGAGCCACCATGTCAATTCAGTCTGTTTTCTCCCTGCAGCACATTGTGAAGTGTCACGGCAACACGCTGCTGCCCCAGTTTCTGGGAATGTATCGGGTGAGCGTGGACAACGAGGAGACCTACCTGATTGTCATGAGGAACATGTTCAGCCACAGATTGGTGGTGCACAGGAAATATGACCTAAAAGTAAGGAGGAACTCGTCAACAGACTTTGGTCACATTTCAGTTCGTGTCTGTTCTTACAGAAGTTCCACAACAACAAGTTTTGTTGATTTTATTTTATTTTTATTTTTTTCTGAGGTTTGATTTAGAATTAAGCTTTGTAACAAAATTTCCTTGGATGTTTATAAAGTTTTGGGAGATGTTTTAACTTATAATCTGGCATTTTATAGACCAAACCAAGAAAGCAATCTTAAAATACTTTTATTCTTAACACAAATTTTCAGTTGGAGTCTGTAATCAATCCTTTATTGCCATTTCAGACCTGAGTGGTATACGACCAAACGAGTTCAACAGAACAGGGCTTTGTTTTTTTAGCCTGGCATGACGAAGCCCAACTCTACAAAACTGCAGGTTTTCTGTTTCTGCTGACACTTCATTCACCCAGACGTTCTGTTTTAGTGTCTGCAGTCACATTAAAACAGGCATTTTTAACGCTTTTTCTGATCAAAATATACAAATCCAGTAGCTACATTAGGGAAAAAAATCTGAATTTCAGCAAATCTTCACTGGAGATTAGGACTAGACCTACACACAAACACACGATACATCTACACACATACATATGATACACATTGAAATATGAAATGCATATACAGTGGTCCCTCGCTACTTTGCAGTTCGTTTTTTGCGTATTCGCTTTATCACGGTTTTTCGAAGTAAGATTGGACATGACACAATTGGCTGATTGATGCATGAGCCATGGATTGTTTATTTAAAATAAATTATTTTAAAGGTTTTAACACCTGTGTGCAGCCCACAAGTGCAGGGGGAAGCCCCTCCTGCAGCCTGTCGTGATCTCTTTCTCTGCCACACACACTTTTTTCCTGCTGCAGCGGCATTGTGAAGGGTTAACCCTTTGATGTTCTGCTGCACTTCTCTACAATTTAAATACTGTAATATTTCAAATAAACAATTCATTATTTTAAACATTACAGTATTTAAATTGTTTATTTAATTAGGGAGATTGGGAGTAACAGGTAAGAGTGAGTGTGATTGCAGCCTGGTACATGTCATGACAAAGTTTACTGAACTTGAACTTGGACTATTGTCCCTACTTGTTGGTTTTTCACTTATTGCGGGGGGCAGGGTACGGAACACCTGTGATAAAAGAGGGACTACTGTAAATTTCTAAATAACGATGGCTTGTGGTTAAATTTAACACTTAAATGCTACCTCCTCAATGACAGGCGGCGATTTCAACATTTTCACCACACAGAACATCTACCGTATGTGTTGCTGTTGGTACATGACTCCAGCCTCCTACTCCAAAAGTTATTGGGAAGGCTGAAATGCCAGTTTTTTTGTTTAATACCTACTGTAAATGCAGGACTCTGACTAAGTGATAACTGGGATTTATAATATCAGAATCAGAATAAGATTTATTATCATTGTACCAAAATACAGTGAGATTATGTTTGTACAGTTGTCTGAAAGATGGGAAGAGAATGCACGTTGCTGCTGCTAAAAAGCGTGGTCCCTTATTCTTTATAAGAATACTTTGACATTGTTGTCATCATTCTTTGTTGGAATCAGGTCTCTCTTATGAGTCCTCGAGGCTCAATGGGATTTACCTGTCTAAATAAAGGTTGAATGAAAAAAAAATAGAAAAAGGGCAAGAACCATGAGGGTAGATAGTGGTATTACAAAAAAAGGATCTCTTCACATCTTGCCCTATCAGGACACGATTTGAGACATCAAAAATCTCTACCAGCAAGCACATTCAAAAACATGATTACATATGCATTTGACGTCAAGACGTTGAGATTTGTCCATGCATTTTCAGATAGGCCACAATTCTGATGATGTTGTTTCAGCCGACAGTTCTGGTAAGGCTGCACAGAAGTTCTGGGGGGTCAGGCTTGTATCCAAGGCCAAACGGGGGAGTCAGATTCAGATAAGCCACAATTGTTGATCTTTCTTTAGACAGACTGTTTTTCCTCGTCAGCCTCGAGTCCTGCTGGAACTTTCCGGTCTAAATGGCCAAATTTCTGGATATCCGCTCCACTGATTTGTGTTATGAGCTTTCTTCAAGGTCAATCCCAACATGCTGACGGGTCCAAGGAGCCGCAGGTGGCCTACAATTCTCACAAATTGCCTCCATCTTAAGGTTTAGCTCAAAAATCAGCTGATTTTGAGTACTCATAGCACAAACCAAACCTTTGCACTGACTCGGAAGCTTTGTCATGGCCGAAACTGGTGCTGAAGTCTTCTTCCAAAGTCAATAAAACAGCCCCGCCAATGCCAAAGAGCAGAACCCCTGCTATCATAAATCCAAATATATAAACGTCTTCAGTGTACTCCTGAGACAGAACTGAAAGATATCAGCTGCCAAACTACCCATGGATCTCTGACATAACCCACAGCATGAGTCTTAGCCAGACAAGAGGGTTCTCCAGGACCCTGTTGTTTTGTTGAAAATGTTTTTTTTTTTGATTGCGTTGAAAGTCCAGCTCACCAGATCCATAATCATATTTTTCGTTCGGGAGATGTGTATCAGGAGCTTCAAACACACAGAGAGCAAAGCAGGAGGAGCAAGAGAAGAACGGTGAGGGAGAGCAGGAGCTTCTGCCTTGAGCGAGAGCCAGAGTAGCCAGAGTATACTGTCATTTAACAAGCTAATGTTCATTATAAATTTGCCCCTCAGAAATATTTCACACATTGGCTTTGTTCCAAGTAAAACCTATAACTCTTTGTTGTTGCAGGGTTCTCTGGTGGATCGTGAAGCAAGTGACAAAGAAAGGGTAATAAGTGTCGGCCAACTTCTCAAGACATATTACTGCTCCTTTCCTTGTTGTCTTGTATGTTTCACTAAAGATATTTTGTTTCTCCCAAAGGAAAAAGATCTTCCAACCTTTAAGGACATGGACTTCAGGAATAACATGCAGAAGGTGTATATAACTGAGGAGCAGAGGGAGAAATTCATGGAGAAACTCAACAGGGATGTGGAGGTGAGGGTGCGGTCTTGACAGGTGACACACTAAAGTTGTAACCCGTTTTGGTCACACAAGAGCATCATCAGCACACCACAGATTAGGAATGTGTCAGTTAACAGATTCATACCAATTCACAGATGTACAAGTGCACAATGTGACTGGATCAGAGGAGCAGTCATGTACTAATGCAGTTTTGAGGTTAAATCTAGATGCATCCATTTTTAATGACTTAGCATTAATAAAATCTATTAATAAAATCTATTCATTTTAGTATTAGTAGTAAATTTCAGGTGTATTTTCTGCAGACATCCACTTAAAAATCAGGAAAGTTGAGAAAAAAACTGTATGTTTTTGTATAAAGAATGCCTCTTTTCCATTAGGACCATTAGTACCGATACAGCACGGTTCGGCTTGGCACGGTATGAGTTGTGTTTCCATTATACTTTCAGTAATGGTTCTAGTGGGCAGGTTCATCTCGGAGCCTGCAGGAGCGCGTGAGGCTGGGCCTGGACCCCAGCCTCACGCGCTCCTACGGGTTGGCAGCTCGTATGATCCTCGGCAGTGAGCAGCAGAGCTCGGAGCGTGCGAGGCCGGGGCGTATTTGCAGTATGATAAATGGTAGGAGCATTAATATACGCTCCTGATATTTTGTTGTAGGGATGCACGATATTATCGGCTTGGTATCGGTATTTACTGATATTAGCGTTAAAATTCAATATTGGACATCGGCCATTCCATTAAAATAACTCGCCGATATAAAAGGCGCTGTTTTTGGCGGCAGCACAACGTGATGACGTTGCAGTGCAACGCGACGACGTCACGTGCACCTACCCGATCTCACGGTGGAGAAGAAAATTCAAAATGTCAGTGGTGTGTAATTTTTATTTTTTGTTGGTGAGGATGTTGGATTCCAAAGATTTATGGACTTCGTTGAGCCTCGTTACATCGTCCCCAGTCAGAGATATTTCTCAGACGTAGCCTTACCAGAGTTACAAGCCGTCATTTCCGACATCATTGAGAAGCTAACAGCTGATCGCACGACTTGTTGGGTGAGTTTTACCTCAGACATTTGGACGTCGAGTTAGCCCCGTTAGCATGATTAGTCTTACGGCTCAATGGATGGACAAAAACTTTGGACTTAAAAAGTCTGTCCTTCATGCACAGGAGTGCAGAGGATCCACA